GCCAATCTCGCCAATACTCCCAACGACGGCCTGGTGCGTTTCATTCAGGGCGCTGGCGACGACGGGCTGTACGCCGGCCAGATCACTGGCGGCGGCGCGGTGGAGAAGACCGGCGCCGGCGAAGCTGTTGACGCCGGCGTCAACAGCTTCGCCGGCGGCCTGTTCATTCGCGAGGGCCTAGTGGCAGCCGGCTCTGACGGCGTGCTCGGCGCGCCTGCTGGCGGCGTCACCCTCGATGGCGGCGCCTTGCGGTTTACCAGCAGCTTCACGCTCGCGCCGACCCGCGCCGTTGAGATTACCGCCAATAACGGCGGCATCGATGTGGTGGCCGGCGCCCTGGCGACGCTGACCCAGGGGGTGAGCGGCGCGGGCGGGCTGGCCAAGACCGGCTCGGGCGACCTCCTGCTTGCCGGCGCCAGCCTCGGCGGCGGCGGCGTCAGCGTCGCCAACGGCGCGACCCTTGGCGGTTATGGCGCAGTGGGCGGCGATGTCCTCAACAGCGGCGTCCTTGCTGTCGCCGACGCCATGCCGCGCTTTCAGGGTGGCCCTGGCGGCCATTTCACGGTGGGCGGACAGCTCGTCAACGCGGGCCTCGTGCGCATCGGCGGAGCCGGCGTGGGCGACGCCGCTGCTGATCACCAATGTCGGCGGACCCGGCGCGGCGACGCCACGCAATGGTATTGAGGTGGTCAGCGCCATCAATGGCGCCACGACCGCCCTTGGCGCATTTTATACGACCGAACCCCTGCTCGCCGGCCCCTATCGCTATACATTGCACCGCGGCTCCCGCGACGGCGGCGACCCGGAGTCCTGGTTCCTGCGCACCGATGACGACAGCTCCCGCGGCGGCGGCGCGGCAGGCGGCGTTCCAGGAGGCGTTCCGGGCGCTCCCGCCTTTCGCCGGGAAACCGCGCTATACGCGGCGCTGCCATCCATGGCCCTGCTCTATGGCCAGACCATGCTCGGGACGCTACATGAAGCGCGTCGGCGAACAGGAGTTGCAGCGCGGCATGACTGCCGCCAGCGGCTCAGCCATCAGTCAGGCGCTGTGGGGACGCGTCATCGGCAGCCATGGCCGCTACCGCGACAATGGCGGCTATGCCTCGGGGCCGGGTTTCGCCTGGGATTTCTACGCCTTCCAGATCGGCATAGACCTTTATCGCAAGGAGCATGCGGACGGCGGCCGCGACCATGCCGGCCTTTATATCGGCGCGGGCCGCGCCGACGGCGACGTCGCCCATTATGCGGGCGGCAGGGCTGGTTCAATGAGCTTTGACGCCTATACCGTCGGCGCATACTGGACGCATTACGGCGCGGCAGGCTGGTATGTCGACGCAGTGGCCCAGGGCACGTGGTATGGCGGCAAGGCGTCGTCGGGACGCACCAGCCTGAAGACAGACGGCTTTGGCGCGGCCTTTTCGCTGGAAGCGGGCTATCCGATCCAGCTGGGCGACGGCTGGGTGCTGGAGCCGCAGGCGCAGATCATCTTGCAGAAGATCAATCTGGGCGGCGGTTTTGACGAGACGGCGTTCATCCGGTTCAGTAACGTCAATTCGGTGGCCGCCCGCATTGGCGCGCGCCTGTCGCGGAGCTGGATCATGGACACGGACCGCGGGCCCGTGAAGATGAACGCCTGGCTGCGCGGCAATGTGTGGAATGAGTTTGCCGGAACGCCGCGCGCCAATTTTTCCAGCGATCTTGGCTACACGCCATTCCGCTCGGACATGAAGGGCGCCTGGGCTGACATCAGCGCCGGCGTCACCGCCCAGTTCAACGCCAACACGGCTCTCTACGCCTCAGCGAGCTATCAGACCAGCTTCGACGGCCGCCGCAACGGCTGGGGCGGCAAGGCCGGCCTGCGCATCACCTGGTGAGATAGCTGGCAATCTGTCTGCCCAACCCTTGCCGCCTCCCGCGCCGCCGCGGGAGGCGTTGCCGCGTCCGGGACGCTGGCGGCGAACCCGCGCGCCCACCGCAGCCCGGTCGACGCCAACGATGACAACGGCGCCTCACCATAATGCGCGACGTGACGTACCGGCCACATGCACATATGCACAGACCCATAATATATACGCCAATTCATTCTGCACATTTTACTAATCTTTTAACACGTATAATTATATTCATCCGTATATATAATTTAGCGCTGCTGCTACGGCGCGCCCATGACCGACAAGGACCGTAAAGGAGCCGGACTTTGCGACCGTCAGGCAGCTTCCGACGTCACCCCGTTTTAACGAGACTGACGCGGGCGACCTTGGCGTCCCTGTGCCTGACGGCCTTGCCAAAGCCAGCACCGGCAGCCTGCTCCAATGTCACCGTCGCCGACCGAATGACCACGACGTGCAACACCGCCAGCCCCAACCCCTTCCGCACAACCATCGGCATCGGACAGGGCGTCAACAACCGGACAGTCGTTGTCCTGCAGGGCGCGCAGATCGAGGTCTCTGGCGCTCCAGCAGTCTCTCTCGACAGCCATGTCGGCGTGGAGCTGACGGAAGGGGCCAGCGTCAGCAACATCGTCAACCGGGGCGACAGTCACAGCGGCTATAATGACAGCGACCTCAGCACCATCCAGTTCACCAGCCAGACGCATGTCACCGTCGCCAGTGGCG